AGAGGGAGAGGGAGAAGCAGGCTCCCCGCCGAGCAGGGAGCCCGATGTGGGGCTCGATCCCAGGACCCTGGGATCATGACCTGGGCCGAAGGCAGACGCTTAACCACTGAGCCACCCAGGCGCCCCGAAATTTTATAGTTTTTAGGTCTTATATTTAGGTCATTGATCTAGTGGAGTCAGTCTTTGTAAGTGGTGTGAGGTAGGGGTCCAGGTTCATTCTCCTGCATGTGAACATCCAGTTGTCTGTCCATGTACCATTTGTTAAGATGATTTTCTTCCCACTGAACGCTCTGGCACCTTGTTGAATGTCAGGAGCGCCTGGCTGGCTCAGTCGGTGGAGCATGCAACTCTTGGTCTCGGGGTCGTGAGTTGGGGCTCCACACTGGGTGTAGAGATTACTAAAACAAAATAAACTTAAGAGGCACCTTTGTTCTTCGTCAAGGTGGTTCTGGCTTTCTGGAGGGGCTGGGACATGCCGCCACATTTACACTGGTGCTGCTGTCTATGTGTACAGTTCGTAGTTGTCTATTTGATGAGCTCAGAGGCACGTTGCAGACATCACGAGAGTCCACTCTCACTACTTCCCCACTTCGCGGAAGAACGAGAGCCTGGTTCTGCAGAACCACATGCTGTTGTCACGCCCATGTCATTTCAAGTTATCACACCTGTGGTGCACACCCACGTTCCCTCCTGCCGTTCTGTAGCTTGTGAAAAGGTTGTCATGACCTGGCACCATCACACGAGGACCAGGGTGAACATTTTTTTTTTTAAAGATTTTATTTATTTATTCATGAGAGACAGAGAGAGAGAGAGGCAGAGGGAGAAGCAGGCTCCCAAGGAGCAGAGAGCCCGATGCGGGACTCGATCCCAGGACCCTGGGATCATGACCCGAGCTGAAGGCAGACGCTTAACCATCTGAGCCACCCAGGCACCCCAAAATAAAAAAGATTTTGTTTTATTTGAGAGAGAGAGAGAGCGTGCGTGCACACAAGTGGGGGGAGGGGCAGAGGGAGAGGGAGAAGCAGACTCCCCACTGAGCAGAGAGCCCGATGCGGGACTCGGTCCCAGGACCCTGGGATCATGACCTGAGCTGAAGGCAGACGCTTAACCATCTGAGCCACCCAGGCGCCCCAGGGTGAACATTTTTGCCAAGAATACGACACAGATGCCGTGTCGGTCCTGCTGCCCCACCCCAGGGCCTCGGTGGCACATTGGTTTGTCCTGTTTCTGGTGCTGCTGAGCTTCACCGTGTGGCTGGGGGCGGGAGCGCCACACACTTGTCGAACGAAGGAGCAGGACTAGTGACGATGGCAGCTTGTGGCTGCCGTGCTCCCCGTGTGCTGGGCCCTGCACCTGCCCCCCCATTAGCCCCGTTTGACAGGTGAGAAAGCCAAGGCTCAGCGAGGCAAAGTGACCTGCCCAAGTCCCACAGTGAGCGGTGCGGGTGGGGCATGGGCCCAGGCCATCTGGCTCCAGGGGCCACGCTCATAATCACGGCACCACGTCACTCTGAGCGGGAAGGGGCTCGGGTGAAGGAAACAGAGGCACCTCTGGGAATTCTTTCTTCTCCCCCACCCACCCCCGCTCAGGGCTGAAGGCTGACCATCCCCCCATGTAACAGAGCAGAGTTGGTGAATTAATGCCAGACTCCCTCAGCGGGGCCCAGGGGACCCATCTCAGTGCCACCAGGTGACCCATCTCAGTGCCACCAGGTGACCCGGGGCCTGGGCCCCAGGAGGTGCTCCGTGAGGGAAGGTCCTGGCAGAGGGGCCCCGCCGGGATGTCCTGCTTGGGCCCACGGCGCCCGGTCACCCCTCACCTTACTCTCAGCCTTGGTCGCTCCGTGGACAGCCCTCCTGTCCACTGGCCACGCTTTGCCTCTGCGTCCCTGTCGCCTGCTCGGCCGTCCCCTCTTCCTCGGCCTGGGCCTGCGGGCAGGGCTCACGTGGCAAGTACTTCCAGGGTGGGCTTTTGGGTACCCCCGAAGACTCTGGGGGGGGCCAGGGACATGACTTGCCCAAAGTTGGCCGACGGGAGCCTCGCTCGGCCGGCCCTGGGACCTGCTGGCTCACGCTCACCTCCCTCCTCCCGCAGACGAAGATGTGTGTGTGTTTAAGTGCTCGGTGTCCCGGGAGACGGAGTGCAGCCGCGTGGGCAAGCAGTCCTTCATCATCACCCTGGGCTGCAACAGCGTCCTCATCCAGTTCGCCACACCAAACGGTACGTGGCCCTTCCGTCCTGGCGGCGCTCGGCCAGAGAGCCTGAAGCCAGGCCGCTTAGGCTGCCAGCCACGGCCGGAGGTGGACCTCGAGGCCCGTCCCTCTGTCCCAGGAGGCCGTCACAAATGATTCCTGTGCGGAGATAAGTCCGTGGGAGGAGTACGTTCTCGCCGCCTGGAACGCTTCGCCCCGGACCTTCCCTTGCCAAATCCTTTGGGTCCTTCTGGGCTCGGCTCATACATCCGTTCCTTCGAGAGGCCTGTCCTGGCCACCTGGCTGCACCCCAGGCCTCATGGAGGAGCCCGTGGCGGGGGGTTGGGGGGGGGCGCGTGTCTGGGCCCTGGCCCTCCTAGCAGTGGAGGAGGGGGGCAAGACAGGATCCTGAGGCGCGCGGAGCTCTGTTCCGAGCGCACAGAGAAGCCACGGGAGGGTTCTGAGCAGACCCGTTTCGGGCTCCCAAGTGGACATAGGCGGTTCCTAAGGAGGGTTTGTCGAGCTCCAGGCCACTGCTGGTGGCTCGTGGGGGTCGGCAGTGGAGGTGGTGGGGCGCCTGGGGCTGGAGAGCTCATGAAGGTGCAGCAGCCCGGTCTGGTCACCACCACCGATGTCCGGGAGCCCCTTCGGCTGTCCCGGTGCCCCCGGTGGGGGAGCAAGGTGACGGGCCACCTCCCCGCAGAAGCCGTCTTCCTCAGCTCCGTGTCCTTCCTTGCATAAACAACCCCAAGTCTGCCTTTAACACCCGCCCCGGGGGTGCGCATCACGAGCCGGTGTAAGTCCTGCCGGTCTGCTTCTACTCGATGAATATTTAAGAGTTGACTTTTTTCCCTTTTAATTCTGTCAGTTTTTTTTTTAATCGAGGTAAAGTACCTGTTGCAAAAATGTACCACTTTAACCCTTTCTGAGTGTAGAGCGCGGGGGCCTCCCGTGCACTCACGCTGTGGCGCAGTCATCCCCACTGTCCTCCTCCAAGATTTCTTCATCTTCCCAGACTGCTTGCCTTACAAATACTGTTCTCCTTTGAAAACACTGTGTTAAAATACACATAATAAACTTTACCCTCGTAACCATTTTGGAACGTACGGTTCCGGGGTATTAAATATCTTTACGTTGTTGTTCAGCCCCCACCCCACCCTGGTCCACCCCACACAGACCCCGGGTGGGCTCGCGGTTATTTGGCTGGGACAGACCCGCGAGCCTTGACCTTGGCTCGGCCGGCGTGCGTCCTCCCAAGGCTTTGGCCCCACCGGCCGCGCGGAGCTCGCTCGCCCCAGCGTGCAGGACGCCAGCCTTCTTGTGCCGGCCACCAAGTGGCAGGTTTGGCTGCTCTTCCTCTTCGTCAGTTTCAGCACTGTGTTTGGGAAAAAGAAATCGCCAAGCACGAGTGCTCAAAGTAGAGGAGTTGGGCTGTGCACTTATAGACCGCTCCCCGAGATGCCCACGCGTGACCTGGCTTCCCCCTTCCAGATTTCTGTTCCTTCTATAACATCTTGAAAACCTGTCGGGGCCACACCCTGGAGCGGTCGGTGTTCAGCGAGCGCACAGAGGAGTCCTCTGCCGTGCAGTATTTCCAGGTGGGTACTTGCACACACCCTCCCCCCCCGCCCCGGCCAGGCTGTCGCCACCGGCTGACCCCTGGGAGGCCGCGCAGCACAGGGCGGGCCCACCTGGGTTCTTGTCCCGGCTCTGCCCCTTACTAGCTGCGTGACCTTGGGCAGGTGTCCTTCACTTGCTGGGCCTCAGTTTCCTCATCTGTGAAACGGAGATACCAGGGCCTGCCTAGGAGGGTTGCTGGAAGAATGTGAGTGCAGGTGCAGCTCAGGCCCACGGGCGTCCTGAGTAACAACAGCACGGTTGTACCGAACCTGTGCTGCAGGTCAGGCACTGGTCTAAGCGCTTTGACACGCACAGAGACACTTGATCCTCCCAACAGCCCTAGGAGGTAAGTACTATTATTGTCCCCATTTTACAGATGAGAAAACTGAGGCTCAGAGAGGTTAAGTGACTTGCTCCAAGTCACACAGCTATTATGCAACAGAGCCAAGATGGGAAGCCAGGTCTGCCTGATGCCAAAGCCTGTGCCCCGGCCCAGGTGCCACGCTGCCTCCCGCTCGCCCGTTGTCTTACAGAGAGACCCCGCAGCACCTCACCTGCCTGGCGCTCTGAGTTCTAGGGTTCTGTTTGATCGACAACTCTGCTTCGTTGGGGACCCTAAGATGGGGCAGGCGGCCCCCCCCATCCCAGAACCCCTCCCGGGGCAAATTTTGACTTCTCCTGGGTGGCGTCCAGGTCCAGGCAGCATGCAGCTGCATACTTTGGCCATGGTGACGGTGGCGGTGGCCTTCCCGGGGGCCTTTCCTGGAGTGGTCGGCAGCTGCCAGCAGGGGCCCGGCTCAGCACAGGGGGTGCAGCCTCCCGAGGGAGGTTCGTGCCCCAGGTGGGCCCTCCTCTGTCGCAGGGCCAGCCGGGGCCTCGGCCGTCTGCGCCGCCACGTGCCCTGTGCCACTGGCCTGTCTCTGTTCCAGTTCTATGGCTACCTGTCCCAGCAGCAGAACATGATGCAGGACTACGTGCGGACGGGCACCTACCAGCGCGCCATCCTGCAGAACCACACAGACTTCAAGGACAAGGTGAGCGGGCCCGGCACCCGCCGGCTGGGCCCTGCCTCCCCCCCACCCCCCACGGCCCCTTCCCTGTAGCCCCGAGTTGCTGCGCTGTGTCCACGGCTCCAGTTACGTTTTTCTTTGCTCGTTGATTTGATCTTTAAGTGTTTTCTTATTACGAAAGCAAACTCTGCTTTTTTTTTTTTTAAGATTTTATTTATTTGCGAGAGAGAGAATGAGAGACAGAGAGCATGAGAGGGAGGAGGGTCAGAGGGAGAAGCAGACTCCCCGCCGAGCAGGGAGCCCGATGTGGGACTCGATCCCGGGACTCCGGGATCATGACCTGAGCCGAAGGCAGTTGCTTAACCAACTGAGCCACCCAGGCGCCCCCAAACTCTGCTTTTTTATACTTGTCACGGGGAGGGTGACAAGTACCCACCTGGAAATACTGCACGGCGAGGACTCCTCTGTGCACTCGCAGTGTGTGTAATGTAGGCATGGAAAAGCCTCTGTCAGTTACCTCCAAACCCACTGTCACCAGCAAGGGTTTTTTCCCAAATTTTCCCCATGCGTCTATCAGTGTATGCATTTTAGAATTAGGTAACTAATTAAGTGGTTTACAAATAGGATCTTATTCTGTAGACTCTTCCTGCCAAATACTTTTCCCCATGAAATGCTATGTCTTGGACGTACTAGTAAGTCCTGTGGATACATTGTAACTTATCTAGGTATTTTCCTAGTTGCTTTAAAAATCTTTTTGTTATTACTAAGTAGCATACACTCACGATTAAAAAGAAAGACGGGCGCCTGGCTGACTCAGTCAGTAGAGCATGTGACTCTCAATCTCAGGATCAGGAGTTCAGGCTCCACATTGGGCCTAGAGCTTACTTTAAAATAATAATAATAATAAAGAGCAGTCCAGAGTACGTATGATCAAAGGTGAAAGTTTATTCCCTTCCCTGCAGGGGGCCTGGGATTTATTTTCCCTTTTGAACCCAAATGGGAGAGTGTTTTTCTCCACATATCTTGGAGGGGCTCCACATGGTCCATGTGGATCTGCCTCCTCTGGGGCCCGAGCCCCCCAGCCCAGCAGCCTGCCCTTCGTCTTGGGCCCTGGTGTGAGCCGCGTTGCAATAGCACTGGGAATTGGGAAGCGCCTTTGGCAACATCCCTCCCAGCTCTCTCAGTGCAGAGACCCATTGCCTGGTTCCTCTAGAGCTCCGAGAAGCACGCCAGGCCCTCCCGCCCGCCCCCCGACAGTCCCAGCGCCCCGACTGGGCTCCCCCGCTGGACTTGCTGCTGCCCCCAGAGCAGTTCTGTTCCAGAAAGCTCATGCACAGCACCGCCGGAGATGCTTACTTGATTCGGCCCCTGAGGAAGCAGTCAGTCCAGTCCAGGATTGGGGCAGCCTGCCACACGCAAGCCTAGACTCTTCTAAGGGTCCACATCATGGGGGCCAGAGGCCCTTGTGGGTGGTGGGCAGCTTCCCCGCAGCAGCCGAGCCACACATACAGCCTGGAGATCCTGCCACCGACCCCACAGCACCCCCTCTCTGGGCTCCTTCCCTCCCTGCTAGGGCTGCTGAGGCCCTGGAAGGACCCCTTTTAGCTTCTGCGGAGGATCACAGCCCGTGGCCCAGTGGGTCAGGAGATCTGCGCCTGGGCCCAAGTGGAGCTTTCCCCAGGAGCTCCTCTTAGGTGGCCAGGATGCCCTGTGGGGTCAGGGGTCAGGGGTCAGCGGCCGCCCACTTCCTGCCCAGTGTGTAGGCCTGGCTCGTCAGCCCTGAGCCCTGGCAGTCGTGCAGCAGGACTCAGAGGTGTCCTTGGCTCATTCCCAGAGAAGCTACAGGCGTGCTCCTGACCGCCTGGTGTCCGCCGTGCTGCGTAGACCGATCACAGCCCAAACCCTTCCTTTTTGAATCTGGCCTAAAAGTGTCGTGGTCTTAACAGCCTAGCGGTCTTCAGAAATCCCAGCCTGTCACCCTCGGATCCAAACTAGGGGCTCCCACGCGCTCCGGGTAGCTCTCAGAAACCAGCCTTGGGCGCAGTCAGCCTCGGTTGCAGGGAAGTGGGCTGCGCGGCCCAGAGCACACTCAGCAGGAGGCTCTGGCGGAGGGAGCGGCCCGGACAGGCTCATCCCTTACGATCACCATCACTTCACTAGTGCCTTGTTTTCACTGCCCCCTCCTACTCCAGATCGTTCTTGACGTCGGCTGTGGCTCTGGGATCCTCTCATTTTTTGCCGCCCAAGCTGGAGCGAGGAAGATCTATGCAGTGGAGGCCAGCACCATGGCCCAGCACGCAGAGGTCAGCAGCCCACAAAGACCCCAGCCTGTCCTCGTCCTCGAGCTCTATGCCTTTTCCAGCCCAGGAAGCCAGCTCTGCTGGGGGACCTGACCCCCGGATCCAGGGGGCCTGGGCATGCTGCTTCTCTATTTTGGTCTCTTGTGTCCAGAACCTACTGATCGAGGGAGGGCTGGGCTGGACCTGAGGTGGTGTGTCCTCCACGACGGGGTCGGGGCCCGTCTAGTGTCTTCAGAGGCTGGACAGCCTCTTGCTTCAGGGAGTGGATTGTCCAGGCGAGTGGCTCCCCTCCGAGCCCCACCTCCTACGTTTGTGGAATGTGGGCAACAACAGGGTTTCATTTTCTTTTTTCCTTTTCCTGCACTGAAACCTTTATTCACAAGGTTCAGAACCTAAAAGCCGCAAAGGGTAAACTGCAGATACTCCCCCCACCCCTGCCCCCACCCCCACCCTGGCTCGCAGGCTCCCAGCCCGCCGCGCAGGGGCCGGAGAGATCCTGTGGAAGCTCTCCTGAGCTGTCCCGGCCTCCGAGCACCGGCCTGTGTCTTCCTCTGACACAGCCCAGCACACGCGGTGCTCTGCTCTCTGAATAGCCTGTCTGGGATGGTCTGTGTCCCCACAGAAAGAGCTTCCTCCCCCTCGCGAGTGGCTGCAGAGCATCCCTTTGCCCCGGGGTGGGGAGGGCACCGTTGTTTGTTTAGATGCCGTTAGGCAGCCCTCGACCTTTGGGCCACTTTGTGGTCTTTGCAGTACAAACACCTCCTGCGCCGAATCCCTGACACACGTGTTCCCTCTCCCCCGTGCGGTCGCGTCTGTAGGACGCGTTCTTAGCACTGGAATCGCTGGGTTGGACGGTGCGTCCAAGTTTAGCTTTGGTGGCTGTAGCAAAGCCTGCTCGTCCTGTGTGCTCCCATCCGCTGTTGTCCTCAAAGGGTAGAGGTGACCTCAGGGGACTGGGGAGCTGCAGCAGGAAAGGCTCGGAGAGAGGGCTGGGGCTGCGGTGAGCTCGTGACAGGCCGTGGCTGATAATGGCCGTGGTTAGGATGCCAACCGGGGAGGCAGGGGATTGGCGGCCGTGCGTGGGTCGAAGGCGTCCCCTGAGAGGAGGGATCTGGTGATGACCCATGGTGTGGCTGGGTGCAGGGGTCCCCGTGACACCTCTGGAACCCCCACCCGCCTGCAGGTCTTGGTGAAGAGTAACAACCTCACTGAGCGCATCGTGGTCATCCCCGGGAAGGTGGAGGAAGTCTCGCTCCCTGAGCAGGTGGACATCATCATCTCGGAGCCCATGGGCTACATGCTCTTCAATGAGCGCATGCTCGAGAGCTACCTCCATGCCAAGAAGTACCTGAGGCCCGGGGGTGAGTGTTCCTGCTGGCACGGGCGGCGGCCATGTCGGGCTCCCATTGCAGAGCCGCTGGCTGCTGCTGGGTCGGTACGATTGTGGTTCTGTTCCCTGCTTGCCTCTCTTGGCAGCCTGGGGGGCATCTAGGCCTTTACCCCCGAACCCCACCCCACCCCAGCTGGCTTCAAGAGTCCTGGGCCAGACATCGCCTGCCCGGCCCGGCCTGAGTATGGAGGGGGGTTCCCCTCCGGTCCCCAGAGAGCCTCCGGGCTGCCTCTGCCATCTTGTGCCCTGGTGTTGTGGGGACAGTGTCTAGCTGGGGATGGCGGTTGTGGTAGGTGCAGAAGGTATTCTGTGGCAGGCGCCTTCCCGGGGAGTCTGCCTTCTGTCCTCATTCCTGGCATACAGACCTCATCCTAGCTTGACAGGCCCCCGAGTGGCGCCCCCGCCCCCCGTACCCTAGCCAGGGGGACAGAGGAGTTCGTCCGTGTGTATGAGGGCGGGCTGGGGGGGTTCTCGAGTATCAGGGAGCAGCTGTCTGTGTTGGGAAGGTGTGCCTTCTGTGGCCTCCTGTCTGTGTCTCTGTGCCTGCCCCTCCACGCACCTGGGTCATTGGCTGTTCAGAGCTACTTATCTGGGTCACTGGGGGTCTGTGCACAGGGGCCTGGAACATCTGCTGGTGTGTCCCATTTCTGGGCTTGGTTTGGGGTTTGCGTATGTGACTCAAGTATTTCTGTACAAGCAAGGGGTTGTGTGTGTGTGTGTGCGCGCGCGCACAGGCATGCACGTGGCCTAGGAGGACCCTGGCCAGGGCAGAACATATGAAGCTAGTGGGCTGGCAGGCCCCATGGGGACCAGGGGATGGGCGGTTCGGTGGGGAAGCACCCGCTGTGGTCCTCTGGCCTCCCTGGATCTGGGCTGCAGGGACTGGAGGCAGGATGTGGCCTGCACTTTCCGCAGCTGTGGCCCATGTCACGGGTGTGAGCGTGGGAAGCCAGGCCACCTGGCGGGGGTTGTCCCGGACCCGCTCTCCTCCCTTTCCATCCTGGAGGTAGGCTAAGCTGGCGGGGAGGGGGGGCTCCTCCTTAGTGGACGTCAGCACCGAGGGGAGGCCAGCTCTGGTGGCAGCTGCACACCCACGCGGTTGTCAGGCAGCCTGCCCAAGATGAGGCTCGGGGCCAGCACTGCCCTCCTGCCCCCGGCCTGCACACGCGTCTTCCTTCCATCTCCGGATGCCCTTTGCGGGATCGAAGAGTAGGCAGATTCCTGCCTCAGGGCCCCCCTCTCCTGCATAGAAGGAGGGAGGGAGGCCCACATCTGGAGACCAGGTGACCTGGGGCCCTGGACTTCCCGAGGTGGGTGGGGCCTCCTGAGCCCTGGCGCTCTCTGCCGCTGGCTCAGACCCGTCAGTCTATTCATTGAATCACACCGAGAGAGGATCCTGCCCTCCCGCCCCTTCCCATTTCAGGCCATGTGCCAGACCAGGGCAGCCCAGTGGCCCACCCTGTTTGCCAGAGCTTGGGATTCAGCTAACCCCCCCTCCCCCGACCCAGTCTCTGGCCTCATCTGAGGCCCTGACAGTGTAGCCAAGGGCTCGCCTTTGCTCTGTCCAGAGAGCTTGGCTTCACTTTCCCTGGCTGCACATCTGTCCCTGGACAACAGCACCTGAGAGACACTGCCTGGCTGACTGAGCAATGACCTGGGGCCTGGCTGCACCCCACGCACCACTTGCTTACCCCTGAGGCTTTGGCAGGTGCCTTCCCATGTCCCAGCCCCAGTAATGGAACAGAAGGACAGGCCTTCCTGCCTCCCTGGCTGGCTGTCCAAGTTTAATGAGTCAGTGCGTGTCAAGTGTTCATTTTGGCCGGTGGCAGAGAAGGTGCTCCATACCTGTGTTGCACGAATGCACAAATGAATGAAAGAGAGGCTGGGAAGTCCCAGGCTTGGGGGTCCTGGGGCCATTTGGAAACTCTGCCAGGCCCTTTGGGATGTTCCACCCTGACGCTAGCACCCCTCCCTGCCCCCCACTCCCAGGAAACATGTTCCCCACCATTGGTGACGTCCATCTTGCACCCTTCACGGATGAACAGCTCTACATGGAGCAGTTCACCAAGGCCAACTTCTGGTGAGTGTGACCTGGGTGTCCTACCTTCTCAGGGACAGCCCGCTTCTCTTTTTCTCCTCATCCTCAGTAGGACCTGAAAGACTTGGGCTGGATGAGGGCCAGCTGGGAGAAAAGGCAGCCTGCTCCACCTGTCTCTCCTGCTGCTGGTGACCTTGCTGTGGGGGATGGGGGCTTTCTGCAGGTACCAGCCATCCTTCCATGGAGTGGACCTGTCAGCCCTCCGAGGTGCTGCGGTGGACGAGTATTTCCGGCAGCCTGTGGTGGTGAGTGGGGCACCCAAGGCATTATTGCAGTTAGTACTGGGCATGGCCCTCCTCCGGGGTGACAAGAGGGGGGACATGGTCTTTCCTGTCAGGCCTTGTGCAAACTGTGCAGCCCTAGGAAAGCCACTGTCCCCACTGAGTTCTTGCTTTGGCTGCTAAACAGAACTCTTATATAGGGATGTTGGGAATAAAGTGGCAATGCATGTAGAGTGCTTTAATACATAGTAAGCATGCAGTACATGCAACTGCTATTAGATTGATCCTTGGTGAACTGATTTTGATTGATTTTGAGATTTTTGAACTGATACCCATGGTTCAAAAATTTAAAAAATGTAAAACTGAAAAGCCTATAGGCAAACAGTATTTTCTGTATATCTTTTCAGAAGTTTTATACCTAAATGTGCATATACAAGTACACACACACACACACACACACATATATATCCATATGTATATAACCTTTTTTCCTCTCAAAATATAGCATAATCAATATATTCTTTTTCTTTCTATGATCAGAGAACATACACTGTATGATTTCAGTCCTTGGAGATTTGTTGACAATTGCTTTATGCCCACTTAAGTGATCTCTTTTGGTTAACGTTCTGTGTGTACTTGAGAAAAACGTATATTTATCACTTGTTGAGTACAATGTTATAGTGTCAGGTCATGTTAGTTAATCATGTCAGTCAAATCTTGTCTATCTCCTCATGTTTTGGGTGGTGGTGGGGGGGAGGTTCTGCTTTTTCCTATCACTGATTGTAGATTTCCCATTCCTGAGTTTTTGCCTTATATATTTTGGCGCTGTGTTATTAGGTGCATACAGGTTTAGGATTATTGTTTCTTCCTCTTGGATTGATCCTTTTGTCATTACAAAAAGTGTTCTCAAGTAGTACTAGTTGCCCTAAAGTCATCCTCCCCTCCCCCTCCCCGCCACTTTTTTCTTTTTTTTTTCCTGCTAGTAGTTCAGGTACTCTGGCTTTCTTTTGGTTAATCTTTGTACACTATATGTTTTTCCATCTTTCTACTTTCAACCTTTCTGTGTCCTTATTACTTAAGGTTTGTTTCATGTAAGTAGCATATATTTGGGATTTGTTCTTTAACCAGAGTGACATTTTTTGGTCTTTTAATTACAACATTGAGACCATTTTACATTTGATGTAATTACTGGTCTTTATGGGTATAAGTTTATCGTCTTTTTTTAAAATTTATTCTGAATGTTGTTTCTTTTGAATTGTTTTGTTGTCTTTTGTTTTGTTAAGGTATATTGTTTTCCCCCACTTGATGTTTTTCACTAGTTTTGGGGAGACTCTCGGGCACTGTCTCTTTAAACACTACCTCTGCCCCATTCTCTTTCTCCTCCTAGGACATTTTGTCTCAGATGATTCTTACACTCTTTTCTGCATTTTCCATCCTTTTGTCTCTAATTGCTTCATTTTCATATTTCCTACTGATCCATCTTCCAGTTCGTCTTCTCTTTGCTGTTTAAGCTGGTTTTCTAATTCTTAATTTCAGTTCTAGGATCTCATTTTGCTTATTTCTTATTTCAGTTCTCTGAAATTCTTCATTTTTTCTACCTTTTTTTTTTTCTCATACATACTGTAAGTTTCTGGTCACTTTTAGCATGTAGGTAAGTGTTAAGTGTATTTCTATTTTTTATTTACTCTCTTAGTTTTTGGTTCCCATCCTTTGGTTCTGTCTGTTAGTATACCTGGTTATTGGATGCCAGAATGAAATATGGAGGCTCTGGATGATGTTTTTCCTCTCAAGGATTTGCTTTTCTTCAGGCAATTAGCCATATAGATAGATCACCTTGGTCCTATCAGGCATTTGACATATTTAGAGGCTGCTTTTCAGACTTGACTTTGCTGGGCTGTTTCTTGGCTTCCCTGTAAGGCAGTGGTTTTTAAGCATTTTGGTCTCAGGTGATCTGTTTACATTCTTAAAAATGGAGGAAGAGCTTTTGTTAGTGTTTTAGCTATTGATATACTGTCAGTAACTCTTGGTATTAAAAATTAAGCCCTCAGTCAGTTGAGCATCCGACTCTTGATCTCACCTAAGGTCTTGATCTCAGGATCGTGAGTTCAAGCCCTGCGTTGGGCTCCATGTTGGGTGTGGAGCCTACTTAAAAAAAAAAAAAAAATTAAGCCCAAGAAATTAAAAAATATTTATTTTAAAATAACAAGCCCATTAAATGTTAACATAAGTAGTATTTTTAAGAAAAAAGCGATTTTCCAAAACTTTTCAGTGAGAACAGTTGGCATTTTTTTAAAAAGATTTTCATTTATTTATTTGAGAGAGACAGAGATAGCAAGGAGAGCATGAGCAGGGAGGAGAGGGAGAAGCAGGCCCCCCCGCTGAGCAGGGAGCCCAATGTGGGGCTTGATCCCAGAATGGAGGGATCATGGCCTGAGCTGAAGGCAGATGCTTAACCGGCTGAGCCACCCAGGTGCCCCACAGTTGGCATTTTTAATTTGCAAATCTCTTTAATGTCTGGCTTAATAGAAGACAGTTGGATTCTGCTTCTGTGTTCAATCAGTTGTGCAATCACAGGTGAGTGAGCCAAAGAAAAAGGCAGAAAACATCTTAGTATTATATGAAAATAGTTTTGACCTTGAGAGTACTCTGAAAGGGACATTTTGGGAACTGCTGCTTTAGGTCCTAGCCTTCAATGGTCTCAGTGCAAGCCTGGTGGGTGCTTCACGGGGCTCCTCTCCCAGCCTCCCAGCACCAATGCCCAGCTGAACCTTTCCTTAGTTTTTCAGTGTCTTATAAGTGGCTTTCTGCTTGATTCCTTTGCCTCTCAGCCCCACCTCACATGCAGCTCAGGAGTTGGTGCACGCCACAGAGTGAAATTGCATGCAGAACATCCACTTCATGTTTCTGTATTTTCCTTTTGTTTTGTTTCTTGATCTCTTGAATCCTAGCTGCCTTGGTGACCTGAGCCCCCATTTTGCTTTCCCCATCCAGGGAGGCCGCCAGAAGGTCCTGCCCCAAGGGGAAAGGCAGAGGCGAAAAAACATCTCTCTAGGATCTTGGCTCCCCAAAGCTGAGGCTGCTCTTATTACTCTCCAGTACTTTCAAACTAGGCTTTTTTTTTCCTTTGTATTTTATTCGGCTCATGCAGTTCTTCACAGAGTGTTAGTCTGATATAAAGCCTCCGTCACAGCCGGGTGTGGACGTCAGCACACAGTTCTCCAACTTGCTTTTTAACTTGTTTATCTCGGAGATCCTTCCCCCCTCTTCGTTCTTTCTCAGTCTTTTTTTTTTTTTTTTAAGATTTTTTTTTTTTTTATTTATTCATTTGAGACACAGAGATAGAGAGAGAGAGAGCATGAGCAGGGAGAGAGGCAGAGGGAGAGGGAGAAGCAGGCTCCCCGCTGAGCAGGAAGCCCGACGCGGGGCTCGATCCCAGGACGCTGGGATCATGACCTGAGCCGAAGGCAGACGCTTAACCATCTGAGCCACCCAGGCGCCCCTCTTTCTCAGTCTTTTACGGATGGGACATTGGTGGTTTAATTACAGGGTTTCCAGAGTATGTCTAATTAACGGGTGTGAGCTTGTATACGTGCACATATATGTGCAGGTTAAACTCCCAGGAGAGGAACTGCCACGTCTCTAATGCTATGAATGATTGAGAGCCATCACCGAATTGGCCTCCATGGTGGCGAACCACTTCGTCCTCCCCCCAGCATGTCTGAGAACGGCAAACTGGTTTTAGCCAAATGGCCTCATAGCCGTGGCCAGACAGGAGAGAAGAGCTCTCCCCTCTAGCTGGCCTCTGTGCCTGAAGCCAAGTCACACTGTGGTCTCTCCCAGGACACATTTGACATCCGGATCCTGATGGCCAAGTCTGTCAAGTACACAGTGAACTTCTTAGAAGCCAAAGAAGGAGATTTGCACAGGTACCAGCACCCATGCCCCTCCTGCTAAGCCTGGCTCCTGCTGGGGCCTGGGGCCAGCACAGACTCCCCCAGGCCTTCTGCCCTAAGGCGGGCAGGCAGGGGCCCCGGGACACTGCACCCAGCCACCCCTCTTCTCCCCTGGCAGTCCCTGTTTGGCTTCCCCAGCAATCACTGCCCTTTGCCTTCCAGGATAGAAATCCCATTCAAATTCCACATGCTGCATTCCGGGCTAGTTCACGGTCTGGCTTTCTGGTTTGATGTCGCCTTCATCGGCTCCATGTGAGTGCAACAGTGCAAAGCATGCTGTGTGCTCCTTCCTGCCCCGGTCTCAGGGGCTTCCCTGCAGTTGTGACCCCCAGGCCTGGCTGGGGGCTGGCAGGACAGGACAGGACTCCTCTAGGCTCCCTGTCCCCCCTCCAAAAGCAGTGAGAGCTCCCCCTTTGAGCCAGAGACTGTTGTGGGAGGGGGTGTCTATTCTCTTCTCAGCGACAGTCCTTCATGGGACCTGGTCTCTGTCTCTCGGCACAGAGGTCAAGGGAGTGGGCCCCTCACGGCTGTGGATCTGTGTGTGTGTGCATGCGCGTGCGTGCACGTGCGTGTGCCTGGGACGCCTGGGCAGCCAGCCTGTCTCAGCTCCAGGGCCCCAGGGGACCCATCAGAGATGGCTGGGGAGAGCTCAAGGTGCACAGGGTGGTGGCTGCAGCCTGGTCAAACGTGTGCCTGTCCTTGCTTGGCAGAATGACAGTGTGGCTATCCACAGCCCCGACGGAGCCCCTGACCCACTGGTACCAGGTCCGCTGCCTGTTCCAGTCACCACTGTTCGCCAAGGCCGGGGACACGCTCTCAGGGACATGTCTGCTTATTGCCAACAAAAGGTGTGAGCTGCCACCTGGGGCTGGGGGAGGCAGGGGTCTGTCTCCGCAGCCAGCTCATGGCCGTCCTCCCCTCCCCTCTCTGCAGACAGAGCTATGACATCAGTATTGTGGCCCAGGTAGACCAGACGGGCTCCAAATCCAGTAACCTCCTGGACCTGAAAAACCCCTTCTTCAGGTATTATGAGCCCGCAGCCTGAAGTCGGGGGGGGGGGGTGCCCCTCCTGACCCGCAGCCTCTCAGCCCTGCCCACTGGTCGGTCGGTCTGTGCTGCAGATACACAGGCACGACGCCGTCGCCCCCGCCCGGCTCCCACTACACGTCCCCCTCGGAGAACATGTGGAACACGGGCAGCACCTACAACCTCAGCAGTGGGATGGCTGTGGCCGGTGAGTGGCCCCCGTGTGGCTGGGGCCAGGGCGCTCCCGGGGGGCCCCCCGCTGGGGCTCTTCTGCCCCGGAGGACGCGGTCTCCCACGCCCTGACCTGGCCCCCTCTGCGCACAGGGATGCCGACCGCCTACGACCTGAGCAGTGTTATTGCCGGTGGCTCCAGCGTGGGCCACAACAACCTGATTCCTTTAGGTGAGCGTCCCCTGGGGTCCGGGAGTGGCGCGGTGGGCGGCCACGGCTCTCTAGGGCTTGGGCTTTCTGTGCCGCGGTCTCCTCTTCCAGGGGCCCCTGGCGGAGGCCCTGCCGCTCCTGTCTGTCTCACTGGGCAGCCGCTGCACCCACCCTCCCCACCCCCGGGGCGAGAGCCTGGGCCGGGCTGGGGGCGGTGACGCCGTCTCCCTTCCTTCCTCCCTCCCTCTTGCTGCGCAGCCAACACGGGGATTGTCAATCACACCCACTCCCGGATGGGCTCCATAATGAGCACGGGGATTGTCCAAGGTAATGGTGGGCCGTGGGAGCGGGGTCCCGCAGCCGTGAGTGTGCGGACCCCCGGGCCGCCCTCTCGCCTGCTCGCTCGCTCTCTCTGACTCTGCCGTGGGTCTGGGCGGGCGCGGGGGGCAGAGCCGGCCCCTCAGTGCCCGTGCCATCCCCCTTCCCCCCCACAGGGTCGTCGGGCGCCCAGGGCAGCGGTGGCGGCGGCTCCAGCGCCCACTACGCAGTCAACAGCCAGTTCACCATGGGCGGCCCCGCCATCTCCATGGCCTCCCCCATGTCCATCCCGACCAACACCATGCACTATGGGAGCTAGGCCCCTCTGGCGCGCAACAGACTGACAGCACCAGGAAACCAAATGAAGACCCTGCCCACCCCCCCCACCCCCGCCTGGGCGGCTTTCACCCCTGGGCCGGAGAAGCCCAAACACCCGGTCACGGCCCTCTTTGCTATGGGAACTTGGACACTTTTTTACACAACATTGCCGCCGCCGCCCCCACTCCACCGCCCACCCGCATCTTGGCCCTGAGCGCGTGTCGCTGCCAGATTTTACACAAGATCCTGTCGTGGGAGCCGTTTTCCCCTCCTGCCCTCCCCCCTGACCTGGGTTTGACATCTTCTGTAACAGGCATGTCCAGGCCTGACAGCTGCAGGCCCGGCGGGGAGGGGCGGGGTGGGGGGAGTAGCTACCACCCCACCTGGTCCCTTGGCGCCTGCCCCCCCTCCCCCGCCTGTCTCCAGTGGGGAAGGCAGTCCTGACTGGGCGGGGCCTTCCCTTCAACTACCAGGCCTTGGTCACAATGGGCGTGACATGCTGCTTTTTTTAATTTTATTTTTTTACGAGAAGAACCAGTGTCAATCCACAGACCCTCTGAGAAAACCAGGCCGGCCGGGCCGAGCCAGCAGCCCCTCTCCCCCCACTCAGAGGCTCAGTGGTGAGGGGCAGCCCTGCCGAGTCTTCAGGACAGGGGTGGGGCCAGGCCTCTGGAGACCCGAGGCCCCCTCCCACCAAAGGGTTCACCTCACACTTGAATGTACAACCCACCCCGGCTGTCGGGAAGGCCCTCCGTCCTCGGCCCCTGCCTCTTGCTGCTGTCTTGTCCCTGAGCCCCTGCAGGTCCCCTCCCCTACCCCTGCCAAGAGTTAGAACAGGTGGCCCCGCGGGCCCCAGGCCTGGAGGGAAGGGTCACTGTCAGCCGCTTGGGGCAGACATGAGAAACCTCAAGGATCCATCGTGGAAGGCGTCCTTTCTCCTTGTAGCTCACATTAGGCCTGTGTATTTCCCTCAACATTCGTAGACGCTCCAGTCCCTATTACTATGATGGCATTTTGGTCCCTCCCCAGCCTGGGAAGGGGCCTTGCAGGGACCTCCGCCCCCCCCAAAACAAATAAACAAGGAAATGTATGTTTCAGCAGAGGCAATGTTCTTCTACTTCTCCCCCTGCCCCCCATTTTCTAACACCTCCGAACACGGATGTGGTGGAGCTCAAGCTAGGCCCCGGGACCTGCTCCGTGGGCACCCAGGAGGAGCAGGCCCAGTTGAGGCTGGGGTGACCCCCTCTGCTCTCCCGACCGTCCCATCAGGGAAAGCAGAAGGCCTGGCAGGGAGCCTGGGGGGGGGGGGGGGCGACAGCCACCGCGGAGGCTCCCTGCTCAGCTGCCCCTTTCCCACCTTTATATAAATTCTCGGAATCATCTTTGCATAGAAAATAAAAGTGTTTGCTTTGTAAGAAAAGTCTGGAAAGTAGCAGAGTGGTCTCGAGGTGTCAAGGGAGCCTTCAGTCATCGTCTGAGGGGCAGGGCAGGCCGAGGTGTCCCCTCATGGTGGGCCTGAAAGAGAGAGACTCCTGGGAGCGGCCCTGTGGCTCCTCGCCTCGGGGAGGAAAGGCAGGAGCAGCCCCTCACCTGTGGGCTCGGGCCTTCCTAGGTTGCCTTGGCCCTTGGGGTGGGCGGCAGCAGCAGCTTTGGGGGCAGAGACGAGGCCTGGAGCGGAGGCGCCAGGTGCTCCAAAGGCAGCGGCCGGAAGAAGTAAAACTGAACCAAAGCCCTTGGGGTCAGTGTTGGTGGGGGTCAGTGACACCCCCCCCCCAACCCCGAGGCCCAGCCCTGACCGCTGGTACCTTGCAGCCCACTGCCAGGAGGGCATGGAGCAGCACGACAGTCGAGAGCAGCACCGCGGCCACCAACCTGGTGTCCTCTCGGACGACCGGCCAGAGGGTGAACACCAGGGTAGCAGCCGACAGGGCCAGGGCCAGGGCCCCAAAGAGCCACTGCAGCCACGGGACAGGGATGAGCCACAGGACCTGGGGGCAACACGGGCAGCTGGCTACCAGGCCCTCCGCGCGGCACCTGTCGCCCCCCGCCCCGCCCCCGCCCGGGGCCACACTCACCACGGTGGGGATGAAGACGAAGAGGGAGTAGCCATAGACGCACACGGTCTCCAGGAAGGTGTAAGGCCCCATGCGCTCCCGGACCCCCTTCCGCCACCGCAGGAAGCCCCACAGCGCCAGCGGCACCAGCCAAACGTAGCAATAGATAGTGACGCCGGCCACAGTCACTGTGGGGCGGGGGGGCGAGGCGGGCCGTCACCCCCGGGGCTCCGCGGCACTCCCAGCTCGGGCAGGGCCGGGGCCTTGCCCACTTCACTTACCCTTGTGGAACTGGGGGCTGTAGTGGATGGAGGGGTCTCTCCTCTGGGCCAGCACCAGGGTCAGGTTGCCAGTGACGGCCAAGACGAAAGCCAGCGTGGCACAGATCCAGAAGGGGCCTGTAGGCAGGGCGTGGTGAGGAACCCAGGGCTCCCAGGACAGATGACCTGTCCCATCCCAACCGTGCTGGGCCCCAAGCCTCTTTCTAAGCTCCAAGCTACCTCCACCCCCCACCTTACCCTTCCCCACATCGCCAGTGATGACCTGGGGTGGCTGAATCCAGCGCTGGCTCTCAGTCCCTCAGCTTTCCTGACCTTTCGATAGCCTTTGCTGTAGCTGATCGCTCTCTCCTGAAAACACTCCCCCTATGCTTTCTAGGACTTCATGCTCCTAGCTTCTGCCACGTCACCTCCCTGGCAATTCCTCAAGCTCTGTTGACTCCCTGACCCTTTAATAACGAGGACGCTGTAGGGCACAATCCTTAGCTATCCTCTTCATCTGTTCAGCCCCCACGATCTTGTCCAGCATCAGGACTTTATGTCACCTCTAGCCTGATGTCTCCCAAGTATCTCAAATCCGGTCTGTGCCCTGAACCACAAGCTTATAGTCAACATTTCCACGTGCACAGCTAGGCCTCTCCAACTCCACCCTCATGCTCTCCCCTCAAACCCGCCCAGCCTTTTCCAGTCAATAAATGACAGTTCCATCCTTCTCGCGGTCCCAATGAAAACCCCGGAGCCACCCTCGCCTCTCTCCTCCCACCCCACCTCTGACGGGTCAGGAAATCCTGTCAGCTCCACCTCTGAGACCTAGTCCACAGTCCAACCGCTGCTCCCCACCTGGGGCTGGGCCCCACCGTCCCACACCTGCCAGAGGAAGCCTCAGAGCCCTTAACTAAGAGTCCTTCTCACTGCGGCCTACAAGGCCGGTGCAGTCTCTCCTGTCACCTCTGTGACCTCGTGCAGCTCACTACTCCAATGACAATACTGCCCCACCACTGGACCTGTGCCCCCTTCTGGAATGTTCTTCCCCTAGGTCTCCTCACCGCCATCCACACCACCAAAAGGCCTGTTCTCTCATCCTCACGGGGACCTTCCCTGTCCAACCCATGCAAAGTGGCAACTCACATCCTCTAAGCTGTTTGCTTTTCTTCTGAGCCCTGTGGCCCTCAGCAGCCTTTTATGTAACTGTCTCCCCAGACAGAATGTGCATTTCCCACTCTCTGGGAGTGCCCCTGCTTTCTTCTCAGCTGGAATCCACAGATCGGCACTGGGTCCACATGTGCTAAGTGAATTCTTGAGCTGAATGCACACCACCACTCACCATACAGGTCCGGCCGATTCCGCAGATGGTGCCGCACAAAGTTGTGGCCAGGCCGGGGCAGCAGTGAGCCTCGGATTCGGTCCAGGACCTGGAGACAAGGTGGGGCCCAGAATGGAAGCCTGCACGGGGCCCCTTAGCCCCCACAGAGGAAAGGGCCAACCTCCTGCCCTGCCCTTAGAGGCTTCTTCCTTGCTGACCTCCCATCTCCTCTGCCTACAAGGGCTCAGATGTTCCCTCTAGGTTCTTGATGGGCTGGAGCCCCTTCCCCTGGCCAGTCTCAATACCCCAGTGTGCTGCCACTCTGAAGGACTCTTTCGGGCCGGTCATCTTTCTCTTTGCTTCTCCCTTCTCTTGGCTTGGCTGCCCTGAACAGCCTGTCATGCTGTGACATGTCTGGACTATGAGGTGGGGGACAGGCAAGTCCTTGGCATCCTCCTGCCTACATCTCTCTCCACTATGTCCCGTTCTGCGCCCCAGGTTTATTATTTCCCTCCCTGGCCTGGGGCCTCTGCTCCACAGTCCTTGTACCACATCCGCTAATTCCACTCATTCCTCTCCGGCTCTACACCCGTCTATGGCTTCCCAGCACCCTCAGGACAAAACCCAAACTCCTTAGCACAGCATACGAGGCCTTTGTGGTCTGGCTTCTGCCCGCCTGTCCCCCACCTCACCCTCTCCAACCAGATCAAATGACAGGTAGTTCCTGTGACAGTTCTCACCTTCAGCCCTCCGCATCTGCTGTTCCCTGTGCCTGTAACACGTGCTTCCCTTCACTCTGCCCAGCTGAGGCTTCCTTCTCCTTTCCATCTCGGCACACTCCTCACCTCCTCCAGGAGGCCCTTCTCTCACCTGCCTGAGCACGTGTGTCTGTGTTCCCACGAGCCCCGGTCACACCACAGTCCTGACTGCGCACCACAGTTAGTCTGACCAGCCTGCGTGGGAACTTGTGTCCCCCCGGGTATCACTAGCACTCCGGTGCCCAGGAAGGGCTCAGTGATAGTGGCTGGAGCCCCATGTGACTGCAAACCCTTTCCCACCAGCTTCCCAGGCCTGACCTGGGATGTGTCCACGTCAAAGAAACTCTGATAGTAGCCAAAGGTCCAGAATCCTGGCTGCTGCTTCTCCTCCTGCAGAAGCTGCACAAAATGGGCTTTCGGTGGCTGCCCTTACAGCCTGGGCAGAGGGTGGGCGCAGGGCTGGGGGCAGGCAGGGCCACCGCGGACTCACCGCTGTCCTGTCACTCTCCTCGGCCTCCTCCTCAGCCCCATAGCTGCCACCCGAGTCCACCACCACTGCCACGTGCCCCTGCGGGGTCAGCTGATCGCTTCCACTGGCCGTGGCCGCATCTGGGGTCTCGGCCAGCAGATTAGAAGCTTCCTCGAACTCTATCGAGAAGGAATATGGGACACACGCATGTTTGGGCAGTCAGGACAATGTGGTTTCACCCACGCCTCATGTGGGGGCCAAGACTCCAACTGGGGCCACTGAAGGGCCCAGCTTCCTAAATTCTGAGCAGTTGGAAGGTGTGCTCCCCCACTCCTTGCAAGGGCCTGCGATTTAAGGCTGGTTCTGGGATGGGGTCAGGTCTGGGACAGAGGCTCTACTCGGAGATAGGAGCTCAGGCTGGGCGCGGGGTTCGAGTCCGAGGTGGGTACCGTGCCTGGGTCGGGGTTAGTGCTCATAGCTGACCGGGATTCAGGCTGGCGGTCAGCAGGAACCTGGGCGGGAGGTTCCGCCCGGCGGAGGCAGGAGGAGCTCGGGCCGCGTCGCCGCCGCACTCACCGTGGAAGGCCAGCTCGTCGGCCGCCGCCATGGTCGCTCAGGGGCGTCACCGCATCCCGCTCTGAGGACAGAGGCCAATGACGCCCGCCCCCAACCCTACTCGGTGCCCCTCCCGAGGCCTCTCCCTCAGCCCCGAGCCCCGCCTGGCTTTCTTCTCGAGCTGAATGCACACCACCGGCACCGAGCCGGGGGTGAGCTCGCCGCCCCCGCCCCAGCCCCACAGATGCACCCCGCCCCCCCTCACCTGAGGCTCCTCAGCCGGCGTGGCCCAGGGCCTCTGCGCCTGCGCGGCCCGCCTCCCCGCCACAGCCGACCCCGCTCAGAACGGACAGCAACATCCGGCACCGGTCCGTTTTCGATCCTCTTCCGATGGGAAGCCACTTCCGGCACTGTTGCCGCTTGCGCATGAAGGCCCCGGGCCTTTTTCTTCGCATACCCGGCGTTTCTCTTCGGAAAAGGGACGCCAAGCCGGAAGAGAATGGCGACGGCCGCCCTGAAGAGATTTTGGTCCCGAAACCGTGAAGAGTCTGGTGTCCCAGCGGCCGCGAAGCCGGGCGTGTGGACGCGGTTGGGTGAGTAGCGGCGGGAGGGGGGGGGGGGGTGGCCGCAGCGGCCTGCTCTCACCTGTTCGTTCTGCTTCTCTCCCCTCAGGTTCCTGGGCCCGCGTGCTGCTCCGAGACTACGCCGAGGCCTGCGGGGACGCGGCGGCGGCGGCGCGGGCTCGGCCCTGGCGGGCGGCCGTGTACGCGGGACTGCTGGGCGGCGCGGCGGCCTGCTGCGCGCTGGCGCCGAGCGAGGCGGCCTTCGAGGAGGCGCTGCTCGACGCGTCGGGAACCCTCCTGCTGCTGGCCCCGGCCACGCGCAGCCGTGCCTCGGAGGACTACGTGCAGCGGCTGCTGTGGCTGCGGGGGCGCGGCCGCCTCCGCCACGCGAACCTGGGCCTCTGCGCGCTCGTGTACGAGGCGCCCGTCGACGCTGAGGCCAGCCTCTACCAGGCCCGCTGCCGCTACCTGCAGCCCCGCTGGGTCGACTTCCCGGGCCGGATCCTGGACGTGGGCTTCGTGGGCCGCTGGTGGGTGCTGGCGGCCCGGATGCGCGACTGCGACATCAACGACGAGGAGTTCCAACACCTGCCGGCCCATCTGCGCGTCGTCGGGCCGCATCAGCTGCTTTCCGAGACCAACGAGCGGCTCTTTGATGAGAAGTACAAGCCTGTCGTGCTCACGGACGATCAGGTGGACCAGGCGCTGTGGGAGGAGCAGGTCTTGCAGAAGGAGAAGAAGGACAAACTCGCCCTGAGCGAGGCCGACTCCCTGGTGCGGTCGGAAGTCCCCAGATGAGACCCAGGCCTGGGTCGGGATCGGGCCCCGAGCCCTGGCGGACCGCCTGCCCGGGATGGCGCAGCGGGTGTGAGCGAGCCTCAGGTGCAGAGTGACTTAAATAAATTATGTGCAGAGTGTTCTTTCCCTGGGTTTTCACAGCCTTTTTGGCCACTCTCCCTCTCCTCTCGTTCCTTGTTAGCTGAAGCCAATTCAGAATTAGCTTGGTCTAGGTCTAGGTTTAGGTCTTGGTTCGTCTAGGAGTTGGGGGAGAGCAAAAGCGACAAGACCACGTAATGTTTATCACTGCCAGAGTGAGTAATGAGCCTTACATAACATACACACATAAGCCTTTTTCTTTGAGCCTCATAGTCTTTAGACGAAGGTTAATCACGTTTGTCAGGTGACTCCAAAGCTCTCCTAAGACCATTCAGATACTCATTTTAAATTTGGAGCTGAAAAGTTTATCCTCTTTCATTTTCATGAGTAGCATTTTTAGTTATTTTGAAATAAAGTTAAAAAATAGTTCCAGGGGTACCTGGGTGGCTTAGTCGGTGAGGCGTCTGCCTTCTGCTCAGGTCATGATTCCAGGGTCTTGGGATGGAGCCCTGCATCTGGCTCCCTGCTCTGTGGGGGTCTGCTTCTCCCTCTCCCTCTGCCCCTGCTCCTGTGCCCTCTCTCTCACCCTCTCAAATAAATGAACGGAATCTTTAAAAAAAAAAAAAGTTTCAGAGGAAAGTGGAAAAAATAGAACAAAGGCATTCTCTGTACCCTTCACCCAACTTACCCCAAATAGTAATGTTTTACAATAAACCATACCAAACCAGGAGATTGCCAGTGGTATGACTACAGATTTTACAGGGAATATTTTTGCAAAAACAACCTTTTTGCCCTACATATGACAGTGATGTTAAAGTGATTTGGAAGGGAAAAGGATTTTTTGATCTGGAATTATCTATGGAATCATAGATTCTGTTTATATTTCAGTAACCCTGGAAACCCAGAATCCTATGGAATGGAATAGGTGGTTAGTATACAAAGCTGGTACTTAGGTTGTGATAATCCTACTTTAAAAACAGGAATGAGATTACCTCTGTTACCTAGGTGGCCTGTGGCTAGTTAATGAAACCAGGACATGAGGGGTTGCCTGGCTGGCTCAGTCGGAAGAGCATGTGACTCTTGATATTGGGGTCATGAGTTCAAGCCCCATGTTGGGTATAGAGATTACTAAAAAAAAAACAAAAAGCAAAAATAGAAATTTAAAAAACCCATGAAACAACCATTTTTGTTGTGATGTTTGAGTTCATGTGTTTTGCCATTCAGTTTTGATACTTAGACCTTCATACTAGGGGTATGCTGGACACATGGTGATTTTTATATCCTTATTTTGGGGACAGGAGCATCTTGTAAGTCAAAATCTTCATTTTACAATGGAAAAACTGATGTTCAAAAGTTGATTTTTCCAAGGCTGTGGCAGAGCCATGATTCAAACTGTAACTCCCAACCCTGTGCGTTAATCCTCAAACTCAGGCTCCTATATTTGATCCTAATAACATCCTGCCAGACGTTATTAAATGCTGTTATCATTAACCATGAATAAAAATTGAATACAGAAATAAGTGAATATAAAAAGAAATGTAATGAAAACAAAAGGCAAATGATACTAAATTATAATCTTACAGTGTTACCCTAAAGACTTGGCCTAAAGCCTGATGTTTCTGTTCAAGAAAGCAATATTAACCAACCTGAGGGAAAGGTTTAAGACACACTGGCATCAAGTGAGACTTGTTTCTCACTGTGATCAGAAGTATTATTTTTTTTTAAAGATTTTATTTATTTATTTGACAGAGGGAGACACAGTGAGAGAGGGAACACAAGCAGGGGGAGTGGGAGAGGGAGAAGCAGGCCTCCCGCTGAGCAGGGAGCCCGATGCGGGGCTCGATCCCAGCACCCCGAGATCATG